GAGGAAAATTCAGTGTTTAGCGAGTGAAACGATGATAAAATCTCCTCTAGATGGTCCTTATGTTGAAAAAATAGGACATTGTCAAGTTTTGTGTCATATGAATAAATAGGTCTATCGAAATATAGCATGAAAGCATCGCTTATAAAGAATCAGAAAATTGCTAAATTCAGGGTCCGGTTCTTCTTTTTGTAAGATACTCAATCATCAAAGTTCAACGATTAGATTTCGAAGTCTAATCTAAAATAAAATTCATTGCTGGACGACTTCTGATGATTTGTTTACTTATCTAATGCAACCATTTAGTTTGTGAGTGGACAATCCATGATTTTGCTACCTCTATGCGCACACTTAGACCAGTAGCGGAAGTTTCACCTGTGCAGATGGTTTCATTCTAAAACGATGAATTGAAAATCACATCTTTTGCAACAGGTCAAAATCAAGTTCAAGCTTGACAGCTCGTTTGGTTGGCTCTTTGTTAGGAACCGTTGCTGTATTCTGGTATGTTTGCCGGGCCTTCGTCGACCAAGTCGGACAGATGTGAAACACTTCAAAATGACCTTTTGATTTCAGTGGCTCCTTGAGATCGCAAACGAGCGGTCGTCTGTAAGTTGTCTATTTCGTTATGGTTGGCAGCTTGGCGTCATATTTGCGAATGGCAGATGTTTGATAATACAAGAAGCCAGACAGGCTATACCGTCCCTGATAAATTATACTGCCCAGGTAAACTATACCGTACATATATTAACCGCATCACTGAGTTCAGCTGAATCTTCTTGACCAAACTTTGGGCATAATATCCTGTTGCAGAATATCGAAGTTCACGAATACCCAACTCCAACATTCCTGCGCGGGAGGGGGGGGATGAGGATAGGAATAATGATTACAGTTTTGCGACCTGGTTTTGTGCCGCATTACCGAAATGTTCTTTGAACGCTGTGCAGCAATATGGAGATGTTATCTAACACTAAAAACCATCCTGCTGAAACCCTAGATAGAACTATTTTTACGTGCTGCTCTCGCGGATTTATGTCGTAGATATTTTGATTTATGTGAAGGAGAGAGTCCGGCCAATAGTGACACCATCATATATTTGATACTGTTTGTGTATCATCTGGTATTAAGAGAATGATGCATTACAAGAAGAGTTCTTCGCTTCTCCATTGTCAAAATGGAATGCTGACACGAATAGCTACAGAACGACAACATCTGTAAAATGAATTTACTGTAAGTTGACAGAGAATCAAAGAACTTGCACGTCGTTATGACCATCAGCATGATGTTTGCAAAGATCTTAAATTCAGGTGCTCAGAACAGAGGGAAGTTAAAAGTTTTGACAGTTAGTTGAGTGGACACGTCAGGTCACTGAGAAAACTTAAGTGTACAATACAAGTTGAAACATGAATATCGATTATGTTTAAAACTATCTTGGTATTGAGAAGGGGATAACTGAGAAAGGTTAACACGACACTGACGGTATGTACTGTACATGGCTTGCGTGCAGTAGATTCAACTTGCAACGTACACAGTTCGTAAATATAATAGCTGCTGTAGCTCGATAAACTTCTCTTACACAGTGATCATAATCCTTGATTACTGTAATAATGAAAACGTTCTCATATAGCTTGATAAGATGCAATGCCTCTGACTTGGCGCAAAAATTTCCTATAACATAAGCCTGATATTAAGCAAGAACTTAGTATACCAGAATATTCGACGAGGTATTCGACAACCTAGACAAATGAGGCAAAATCTTTCAGTCATAATGACAACCGCATTGCACGCCATTTGCAATCGCCCGTTGTGCAAGTCTATAAACACTAAGCAGCCAATTGAGGTCTTTCGCAACGTCTGAACATTAACAGCAGCCAAAGGCATGTTTTCTGCTACTTAATACCAAGAAGTAAGATGAGCTTCAATTCATATCGAGAGAGATTTTTGGAAACAGTGGTTCATAAAGTAATTCTAACGACAATTTCTATCTGACAGACTGCATCGTATCACTTATCGAGTCAACCAGTCTCGGTGATTGCAGATCCTTTCAGGTCGAAGAGCCATACGCGTCAGACAGCCTCTCCAACATTCCCGGCCATGTGCCAGAGTTTGAGGTTTAGCAAATCATAATCTGAATCTAGAGCATAGTCCCACTTCCGGCTCTGAGCTCCCACTGTCGGCATGATTCTCGTGGAGGAATCTTATCTGACATAATATAATGGCATCGCGTTGTGTAGAATGTATGTTGTATGTATGTATGTATGTATGTATGTATGTATGTATGTATGTATGCATGCATGCATGTGTGTGTGTGTGTTTCTCCTCCATTCAGATTGACTTGTGACTCCACTGCTGAGTGATACTCTTCGGGAGTCGTCGTCGTGCTGCTTCGCCCTCAGAAGGAATGAAGCGGGTTCTGATCACTGATTTTCGCAGTCTGCTTGCGCGTCTCTGATAAGCCGTGCGACGATCAAGTAGGTACAACGTTCGATAAAGGCAATACCATAAGGGGCAGATGGCTAAGTTTCACGGAAACCACCACAGGCCCTCCCTCACCCCCATTTGTCCTGTGTGCTTTGGACCATCTTGCAGCATACTGCAATGCGAATAAATCGACGGCTCTCGAAAACAGCCATCGATTCAAACAAAAACACTATACTATGAAATTGTAAGCTACACAAAAAGTACAGCGGCCGAAAATCGTTTTAAAACAGTTCTGCGGCAGAAAATTCACACAAAAACGAACTTATTAAAACTATTTCCTGGACTCAGATTTGAATAAAGTCACTGAATTTTCAAAAATTACGGCGCGGCGTAGTTTCATACAAGGACAAGAAACAACTGCATCACCATTTTGATCTGAAATTGCCAAATTCTTTTACTATATTAATAAGGTACCAAAAAAACCAAAGTAAATATAAGTGTAAAGAACAGGAACAGAAGGGTAATTCGTACAAATTTCTAAATCAATCAGCCATACAAACATTTTTGACACTCTACAGCTTACGGCTGATTGTCTGCTGAAGTGAGATGAGCTTGACTGAAAGAAAAACTGGTGATTTTAACCCCCCTTAGCAAGTGAGCTTAAGCGTTAGCGACAAAATATTTAAAAACTTTTAATTCGTGTAACGTCAAATTAAAGCTGCTTCAGTGGTATATTATAGGTTCTCGCAGTCAGGTGAACAGGACAACTTTCGTAAGTAGTGTAGGCAATGCAAGAGTATAGGCAGACACAAAGTCGCCTATCGAGCGACTCAGATGTATAAACATTCACCATTATGATCTTAGGTTAGAATTATCAAGAAATGCACACGAACAAATCAGTGCACCTGCAAGCATGCCTGCGGATGACGAGGTTGTCGAACTCCATACTTTGTAAGCGTCGATCAGTATCGCAGTGACCGATATGTCGGGATTCTACGGCGACACGGGCAGCAGCATAGATTGGAGATGTGGAAGCTACGACGGTGTATGCAGACGAAGGTAGTTCGACGAATCAAGGGCAATTTGCGGTAGGGACTACCGAGTGAACCCCGATGAGGGTCGGAATAAGAATAAACAAACAACGCAGCAGCGAAAGCCTCGCACAAAACCGATCGTTCGTCCACCGCTGCCGTCGTCGTCGTCGAAGAATGAAGCGAAGTTCTGTAAACTGCGTTTTACTCAAAAGCCAGAGTGACTTTACCGACCAAAGGAGAAATGTTTGTCGACGCCAACCGTTGCCAGGCAGCACAAGCAAGACGACGACATTACTCGTAGGTTGTTTTCTTTCGTTTCCATGAGGCTGATTGC